AGATATCTTTTCATTATTCTCATAATAATTTATTATAACTAATAGTTAATTTAGCTTTTTGAATCATTTTTGTATAAAAATTGTTTCTGATCTTGTTTGTTTCATTTTGGAATATTTGGATTTGAAAAAAAATTTTTTTTACTATACCTAGTTTGCAAAGATAACAATATTGTAGATTTACTAGAAGGAATAGTAGGTAGCTTTAAATATGGAGTCTATTTTTCAATAACTAGTATTGATAAATTCTTGAACATTTAAAAACATTTCTGAAATGCGTTTTTTAATTTTGATTGTTTATCACCTTATTGCATTTTTTTTTAAAATTAGAATTAATACAAGTTTTATATATATTGAAATAGGTTAAAGGTCAAAATACTTTCATTTGTTGAGAAAATATTCAAATTATTTTTCATTAAAGAGTGTTTAAATCATCAAAAGCATATTAGTCTAAAAATTGTGTAAGTGCCACAATTTTGTATATGTAAAGATTATACCAATAATGTAAATTACTTGCCTTATCAGTTCTAGATAGATCATTAAAATATTTTATTGTTACTTCGAATAAATCAGGTTGAAAAAAACTCGTCTAGAGCAGAGATTCTGTAGGAAATTTTTAACCAAATTCTGAGGCATAAACAAAGTATTATTCTGAAATAAATTATTTACTACTGCATATTTACAGAGCTCATTCTAGGCAGAAAAAAAGGGCAGGGTACAAAAGTTTAAAAAAAGGTCATTATTATTTTAAAAAAGCAATAATTTCTTTTTATGGGCTTTACACATTCTATAAAAAAACATTGTCAATTTTAGTAAAGGAATTTTTTTTTACTTTACTAAACATAGCAAAACATAAAAAGGAAAAATATTAAGAAAAGGGAAAATATCGTAGTACATTCCTATACAACTGAAAAAAGGAGGAGAGGGAAGGGAGAAGGGCTAAAGGCATGAAACCGGTCTCTCCCCAGATGGCGTATTCGAGTGTTGCGATCGCGAATATTCTATAACTATATATTATACAGTTCTGTGCATATTCTGAATTCTTATTTATTCATTGGAATGACGAAAGCAATGCTGATTTCACTTTAATTTGTAATGAATTGAAGACAGAAAAAATTATTTCACCGTAATACACACAATCTGTAACAGCAAGTAATCATGAGATTGGAAGTTATGTTGTTGGTAATAGAAAGTTAAAAATTATTGAGAAATTGTTCTTCAAATGCTTCTGCTTCAATGCTTGGCATGTTCTGGTTAGTTTTTTCAAGAAGTTCTACCTTTTCCTTAGGGAAATTTTGCTTCTTATTTGCTGCTAATAAAATGACGCCCGTCATTGCCAATGGCTTTGTGGGAATTAATGTCCGATATTTTCAGTCTCCCGCTAGATGGCGTACTCGAGCGTTGCGATCGCGAATACCAATTCAATAGTACAGTCANCACGACAAAAGAGCTGTGAGAACCGAGGCTTGAGACTATTTATTGTGTCGTTTTGCGTTTTCAATTTTATTTTGCAAGGGTCACGGCGCTTATCTATTTTTTCGAGTGACTGTATATAAGACATAACTTGATTCCATCTTGAGGTACCTTTTGCTAGATGAAGGTTGACATAGTCGATATTAAATCCTCCCATAATAAATAAGCCATAACAAATATGCACACGAACACAGGCGATTTAACTAATAGAAAAAGTCGCCTGGTCGATTGAAAAAGGAAACCCATTTAGTAGCCACCAGAAAGATAGGACCTTTACTTCCTTTTTTCGGGTTCCTTATATCTGTGATGAAAACAAAATCGATTCTTTTTCTAAAGCGAATTTGATAAATCGATTAACACAATGAGTTGATTAAAATGTCGATTCTTTCGTTAAGGTAGGAAAGATAGGCAACCGGAAACGTTGACAACTCTCGCAACAATAAATGCACATTGTTTGTGTTATTAAAATTCTTTGCTGAAAACTATTTGAAATAATACTATCTTGCTTAAACGGAAGAAGACTTTTGCAACATATGAGTAAAGAAAGGTTGAATGATATTGTCTTTGATTTGTACTTCACTTAATGTGCTATTTGAATTTAGAAGATTTATTCCTACCTGGGGATGAGATGTAATAAAACTCTAATTTTTAAAGTTTATAAGACTGCGTATCCAAAATCCTTATTAATGTAAAGTGAATTGCACTTATAGTTATGGAAAATCTATAGAATATGCTTTAAAAAGCTTATTTCCATGCAGGAATGATAAAATAACATTTTCTTCGTGCTGACAGCAAATAAAATTCAAGCTGTGGGTGCCTAAATGTTAAGAAGAAAAAAAAATTGTATTCTGTCCGATTCATATTATTAATAATCTATTCATGCAGTGTGTGTTAAATGCTTCCTGGCAAAAAGAGATATTATTATTGAAGGCAATGCCTTTCTGTTTTGGCAATAACATTCTTTGTTGTTAACACTGAGAAAATATAAATTATTTGCAGTTTATGCAATTTAAAATTTGTAAATAAAATTAAATTTTCTTGACCTTCTCATATGTATATTTATCTAGAGGAGCATGCATTTATCGTGTATGATAAAACATTGATACAAAAATAAATGAAATCTAATTTGATAATTTCATGTCCACAATAGTAAAGTAGCAATACTGTTTATTCATATTAATTTTTGTAAGAAGTTTTTCTAATAACATTAATTTTGCAGTGTGTCTAAGAATGCATTGATTCAGAGTGTATTAATTTTAAAAGAATCTTTTACATAAAGCGGTTCATTGTTTCTGCAGTTTTTTGTGTAAAAAAACATAAAATGAAATTATATAATTTAGTTTTGTATGTATGGTAAAATAAAAATATTCTTAAAGTAATGTTTGTAGGAAAAAAAATTGCATCTCAATATAATATAAATTAACCTTTTCACAGATCACCTATTATTAAATCATATTCTTGTTATAAAGTAATCACATTTCTACAGTATTTTATTTTGCTTATTTAAAAAAATTTAATCAAAGTAAGTGATTTGATACATTGTGGTCATTTTTGTAATATGTGCTATTGAAGGCCTCTTTGTGCTATTAAATAAATTACTTTTGTTGTGAAAATTAGTTTGAATTATTGCCAATTATTTTCAATTAATTGCTATTATTTTTCCATTATCTAAATTATAGCTATTTGTATCAAACAAAAAAGAAAGAAAAAGCAAAATTTTTATTTTAAACAGAAAAATCTATATTTTATCTAATATTTGTGTATCTTCTGTTTGAATATCATTGCAAATTGGATTTATGTCTTCATTTCTTGCAGCCTATTTATAATTGTTATTCTGGTGACCTAACTCAACTGAACAAAATTTATCTACCCTTGTGATTCTTGCTATAGTGACACATGCAAAATTGCTTAAAAACAAGATTTTGCAAAGTATTCTGATAGTGTAGTGATTTAATTTTTAAAGCTTACAAAGAGAGACCCATAGTTAATACAGGTCATATAAACAAACAAAAGTCTTATTTCTTGCATTTCAGGTAATTAGAATTTTTCTTCAAACTATTCACACTGCTAAGAGTCGTTATTTGTACAGTTAGAGCAAATAAAGTTTTTCCCAAAAAAGTAAACATATAGGTTTTTTCATCCTGTATCATAACCTTATTCTTGTAATATATGTAACTAGATTTTTTTCAAAAAGAAGTAGTCTGACTAAACACTGCAAAATTCATACTGGTGAGAAATCCTATTCTTGTAGTATATGTAATAGGAGATTTTCACAAAGAGATCTTCTGTCTAAATAAACACAATCGTGTTCATATGGGTGAGAAGCCTTATTTTTGTAGTATTTGTAATAGGAGTTTCTCTTAAAAAAGTAAAATGACTGAACACATTTCTGTTCATACTGGTGAGAGACCTTATTCTTGTAATGTATGCAATAAGAGTTATGCACAAAGAGGTCAACTGACTGTACACAGTCGTGTTCATACTGGTGAGAAGCCTTATTCTTGTAATCTATGTAATAAGAGTTTTTCTGTTAGAGGTTATCTATATAAGCACATTCGTGTTCATACTGGCGAGAAACCTTATTCTTGTAGTATATGTAATAAGAGATTTTCAAATGGATCTAGTTTGACTCAACATAGTCGTGTTCATACTGGTGAAAAACCTTATTCTTGTAGTATATGCAATAAGAGATTTTCTAGTAGATCTTATTTTAATGAACATAGTCGTGTTCATACTGGTGAAAAACCTTATTCTTGTGGTATATGTAATAAGAGATTTTTAATGAGAAGAAGTTTGACTCTGCATAGTCATATTCATACTGGTGAAAAACATTATTCTTGTAGCGTATGTAACAAGAGTTTTTCACGAGAATGTCTACTGACTTTACACAATCGTGTTCATACCGGTGAGACACCTTATTCTTGTAGTGTATGTAATAAGAGTTTTACACAAAAAAGTATACTGACTGAACACAGTCGTGTTCATACTGGAGAGAAGCCTTATTCTTGTACTTCTTGTAATAAGAGTTTCTCACAAAAAAGTACACTGAATGAACACATTCGTGTTCATACTGGCGAGAAACCTTATCCCTGTAGTATATGTAATAAGAGATTTTCTCAAAGAGTTAATCTTTCTAAGCACAGTCTAGTTCATACTGGTATGAAACCTTATTCTTGTAATGTATGTAATAAGAGTTTTGCACAAAGAGGTCAACTTATTGTACACAGTCGAGTTCATACTAATGAGAAACCTTATTCTTGTAGTATATGTAGTAAGAGATTTTCAAGTAGAGATTATGTGACTCAACATAGTTCTGTTCATACTGGTGAAAAACCTTATTCTTGTCGTATATGTAATAAGAGATTTTCAATACGATCTAATTTGACTGAACATAGTCGTGTTCATACTGGTGAAAAACATTATTCTTGTAGTATATGTAATAGGAGATTTTTAAATGGATCTAATTTGACTCAACATTATCGTGTTCATACTGGTGAAAAACCTTATTCTTGTAGTGTATGTAATAAGAGTTTTTCACGAGGAGGTCTACTGACTGAACATAGCCGTGTTCATACTGGTGAGAAACCTTATTCTTGTCATATATGTAATAAGAGTTTTTCTTATAAAAGTTGTTTGTCTCAACACAGTCGTGTTCATACTGGGGAGAAACCTTTTTCTTGTAGTATATGTAATAGTAGTTTCTCACAAAAAAGTACTCTGACTTTACACAATCGTGTTCATACTGGTGAGAAGCCTTATTCTTGTAGTATATGTAATAAGAGTTTTTCACAGAGAAGTAAACTGACTAGACACGGTCATGTTCATACTGGAGTATAGACCTTATTCTTGTAATATATGTTATAAGAGTTTTTGACTAATAGTTATTCTAAGTAAGCACACTTGTGCTCATACTGGAGAGAAACCTTTTCTTGCAAAAAGACTTTTTCAAGGGTGGTTTATCTAACTCATCACATTCATGTAGTACACACTGCTTCAGAAGTATTTTATTTCTCTTAGGTCAGGTTCCATCAAACTTTTCGTAGCTGGTTAAAAACATCATTCTTATAATATACATGTAAGAGATTTTTTCTTCATAAATCTGATGTTTGTGTTTGCACTGGTTAGAAACTTTTTTGTTGTGCCTTAACGTAATAAGAGTTTTTGTAGCTTGACTAAATACAGTGTTGTCCTGCTAGGGACACAGCATATCTTTGAAGTATGTGATCAAGTATTTTTTTTTTTTAAATAATACTGATTTAAATATTTACACATGTTTATACTGGTTGAGTAACCCTATTCTTTTAGCGTCTGTAATAAGTGTCTCTCAACAAGAGCTAATCGTAGTTTTGTAGACCCTGCTAAGAAACCTTATTTTTGTCGCACTTGTCAGAAGAATTTTTCTAATCGCATTCTGATTCATACCGGCACGCTTAATTTTGCAGCACGAGTAAAAATAGACTGACTAAAGACAGACCATTTCTCACTGAGGATAAACTTTCTTGTTTCCATTGTAAGTAAAAAGTTTCACAGAAGTGTCATTAGACTTAACACAATTTAATAAAGCTGAAAAGTTTTTTTTTCCTTTTAAAATATTATAAATTGCAGTTTTCATTGCATTTTTCTGTTTTTATACATATGCGATGTCTGTAAAATAAGCTCCAGTATTGAAAAGTTGTGGATTGAAATACATTCTTATAAACACATCTTAGTAGAAGTTGTAACCTTGAATACTGGATAACATTACTTTATTTACCACCAGTTATGCTTAACCAAAATATAAATTGTTTTTTATTCTCTCAGCATTAGAATCCTGAGTTGTAGGTAATATTTTTTTTAATTAAAAGAAGAAAAAACTTCAATAGCAACTTTTAATTAAAATTACATGAAACATCTTTTATTTAATGAATCTTTTTTAGCACATGCTGTACAATTACAAATGTTTTCATTTCTTTCAGTTACAAAATATTTTATGTTATAATCAGAGCGAAGTAAGTTTTCTTAGTTTTGAAGTCAATTTGGTTTAATTGCAAGTATGAAACATATAGATAAAGTAGTATAAATTGTTTCGTAAAATAATTTTTTTGTATTTAAATCTATACTTTTTTTAAGCTTTCATCATTTTATAAATCTTATATTTATGTTACCCATGTATAATGTAATGTATATAATGATAATTTTTTAAATGATTACTACTTATTATAAATTTTGTTAATCACATTTGAATGTCTTAGATTGTATAATTAACCAAACTTTTGAAAAATAATACAAAAGATCACTCTAATTATTAAAATATCGAAATTACTAAACTATTATTAAGGTTTTTTTTTTTTTTAAATTCTAAAAACAATATTTTGCTAATTTATTATGTTAAATAATGAAATATGCAAATAATTTTAATATGTCATTAGTACTAACTTTTCAGTTCATGGATATTCATGATATAATTATCTCATTTTGAGATGTTCATGTATGTATAAGTGTGCAACTAAGATATTTATTTATAGTCCTTTTCTTATAATGGTTCGGTGCAATTTAAATGTCTTGTCTATTGTATGTTTTTGTATATGGTTAAAAAAAATGCACTTTATTTAATATTAAACTTTGTTTATAACATTATGGTTGAAGAAATTAATTTAAAAAAAACTTGCTTAAGCCATTCTTTAAAATTTTCTTATACCTTTGGAATTTTTTTTAAAAAGCAAAATAGGATTGCATCTATTATAATCATGTTCATGTGGAGAGAATTATTCTTGTATTTCATGAAAAAATAAAAATGTTCAGCATTTTTAGCAAGCATGTTCCTAATGCTGAAAATCCTAATTTTTAGCACTCTAGATTTAATATTGTATTTTATGTCACATGCTGATTATGCAGCATTACGAGGGTTGCTATTTATATTTCTGGCCTAATAATGAAAAAACAAATATGTAGGATCGAAATTGGTTTTATTGTTTTTCAAAATATTCTCCATGATGATCAATACACTTTTGCATGCGTTTGAACCAATTTTCAAAGCACTTTTTCCAGTCCGATTGAGGTAACTCCAAAACATGCGTTTTGAATGAATGCATCAACCGCTTCTTCGGGGGTCGAAAATCGTTGTCCACGTAATTTATTTTTGATGTGTGGGAATAAGAAGTCATTGGGTGCCAAAGCAGGGCTGTACGGCGGATAACCCATCAGTTCGATCTTTCGTTCCGTCAGAAATGCCTTTGTTTGAGTCGATGTGTGAGAGCTCGCATTGTCATGATGAAGAATGATTCGCCTGTTCTTCTGCTTTTTTCGAATTTCTCCGATGACTTCTGGCAAACAAATGGTCGTGTACCATTCAGAATTGACCGTCCTGCGTTGCTCTAACGCCACTGTTGCCACATGACCGTTAATGCCGAAGAAACAGGCAATCATTTGTTTCGATGTGCTTCTTCCTCGAACAACTTTTGTTGGTTTTGCCTCGTCTTGGAAGACCCATACAGTTGATTGCTGTTTTGTTTCCGGCTCATATGCATAGATCCATGATTCGTCACCTGTGTAGATGTTATACACAGCCTTTGATGTACCTTGAACGTATTTTTCCAACATTTCCTTGCACCAATCGACACGAGCCTTTTTTTGAGCGTTTGTCAGATTATGCGGGATCCAACGCGAACAAATTTTTTTTACGCTCAAATGTTCATGCAATATTTTATTGATGCTAGTCATACTAATGTCCAAAGACGCCTCTATCTCACGGTATGTCACATGACGATCTTGCTTTATCAGTTCACGCACAGCATCGATCTTTTCTGGCACAACAACGGATTTTGGACGACCTGCACGGGATTCGTCCTGGATCGAACATCGACCACGATTAAATTCGTTATACCAATTTTTTACAGTGCTGTAGGATGGCGCTTTATCGCTGAATAAAGAATTAAGTTCATCGAAGCACTCTTGTCTTGACAATCCACGTCGAAAGTTATGAAAAATAATGGCACGAAAATGTTCACGATTCAATTCCATTTTTTGAAAGAGAAGAACTTTTCAATTTACTGTCAACAACACAAATGAAGCTATAATGGTAAATCGTCTGCTGAATTTATGTTTAAAAATATCAAACTTTCGATTAAAATCGTCTGCGGTCGCCTAGCAACACTTACTGTTGCCAAGGCCAGAAATATAAATAGCAACCCTCGTATGAGATCAATTCATCAGGCTGGTTAATCTCAGTTTTGTTACGTGTATTATTAATTATTTTTTCAGAATAGTATTCTAGTAGTTCACATAATGTGCGCGATTTAGTATTGTACTTAATGCCACATAAGATTACTCATCATTATGAAAAGTTGAATCTGTATGGTTGAGAATTTTAACAATCGTAGCTGAGTGAATGCCGTACTTTAAATCAGTTTGGATGTTTAAAGAACGATGTTTAAAGTTTGTGCCATCTAGTTAAGGACTTCTACTTTCAATATATATTATAATAGTTTTTCTATCTATGTTACCGATTGTTATAGGTTTTCCAGAAAAGGGACCATTCTTCTGATTTTTCATTTTCTGAGTAATTATTTGTCAAACAATTTGATAGAAAAATAAAGCCCCATGCTTCGTAAATCTGAGAACAGAACTACGGTTGATAAGTACAAAAATGTAATTATCTTTTAAATATAAAAAAAATTTAAGTAAAATAATTCTTTATTGTTAGGCCAAAAAGAATCGACACTAAGACGTAGAATTTTATGAAACATGTGTTTTAAGTATGAGTAAGATTTGATGAAATAAATTCAAGGCATTGTTAATTAATGGAAAGAGGTGTTATTATCAAGCTAGGCATACATATTTTGGAGTATATTTATTGTACTCAAATATTATTACGCAATGATCAGAAAAAAATGAGCATAATAGGAAAGTGCACGTCCCTCCTCTCAGTTAGCCCTGTCCTCTCAGGCTTACTCCATCTCGTATAAAACGATCAATGTTTGATTGCAGCTGATATATTTAAGTTTTGAAAACTGTACTTCATGAAAGTTTATTCACAATGAGTTGTTGCTTGTTGCATTTAAGAAAGTTGCATTGCTGTGCAATTTTAATTCTGTTCACCACTGTTAATTTTTTCTGCACTACGATTATGATAACAATGAAAAGCTATTATAAATTCGTATTTATATAGCTAAATTAGTTATCTACGATAAATCAAATATATAATCGATTTTTTTTCTCTCTCTCTAGCATTTGTGTTGCTTATTCGCTTCATCGGTTCTTTATTGTATCAATTATTACAAAAAATGGCATTATAAAAATTGTAAAATTTTAAGGGGAAATTTTTTTAAGTTAAAATTTTCATTCTATTCAAATGTAACTTTAGAATTATACAATGCAGTTTTTATTATACAGTATATTCGCCCTTGCGTTACATGGAGAGGTAAACGACCAATACCTCACACGGTTAGTCTAACGGCAAGGGGACCCATAATCCGTCTACCACTGAGAATATTTTACGGCTGCGCTATCGTTGGAATTCGAACCCGATTCACCTTATTGGAAAACGAACGCTCTATCTCGTGAGAAATCACGGCTCATGCATGTGTCCTTTAGTGGATTAAGATTTTTATGTGTGTAAATCGTCAAAATGTTCTTTTCCTTTCAAAAAAAAAATTGTTTTCTCTTCTGCTGCCTATAATAATTACTACTTTATAGCACTCCCCTTTACAGGAGAATCTGATGGAAGAAAAAAAAGTTATAACATAAACAACATCTCTCTGCATCTGTCCACAAGACAAAGAATACATAATGATATGCTCTTATATATTCTTTGTGCAGGAGATCCCATTTCGACCCTAAGTCATTACTCACAAAATTTATACAAATATGAAACTTCTTTTATTACGGGTGTCAACAGTGATTTTTAACTACTTAAAATTTTGCAAAATTTTTTCTTTTTTACATTTTTCTCATATTAGGTAGGATTAAGAATATAATGTAGTTCCACGACGCGTAGAGTAATACGACTTTCGGGCTTGTAGAGAGACAAATGTCGACTCTCCGAAAATGCCAGTGGGACACCTGCAAGTGTGGGTATCTCGATCCTGATTGGTTGCTAAAATGTGGCATTTGCTTACGTTAGCAACTGTTCTTTCCATTTTATTTCGAGTAAGCCAAGCCCATAAAGTATCAATCATTTTAAGTCACACATTCTAAATTCCTTTACAAAGATTTAAATTCTTTCACTATATATTTAAACAGAGACTTAACACAAAGACAGACACGAAGTCATGTGGAACATAAACAAACGAATTATGCATCGAAGTTGCCAGATAGACAAAAACAAAAATATATCACGGTTGCAATAAAATACATTTAAAAATGAAAGTTAAATAAAAGAAGTTAGACGAGAAAGAATTATATTTCGATGTGCGATACGGCTCTGCATACAATTAACTTATCGTTAATTAACATTCTAACTTATGAAGAGAAACTTAACTTTAATACGTCATTTTGCTGATAGAGATCAGCTAGCGCTGACGTCACATGCAGGGCCGTAACTACGCCGGGGCACCGCCCCGCCGTGGCCCCGACGGTCAAGGGGGCCCCATATGAAGAGACCACATCATGTTTTTTCGAAATACAGTACTCTAATTATATATATGTAGGAAAGAAATTGTGTAAAGATAGAGTTGCTGAATTTTTTATTTTTAATTACGTACCTACTATAACATAAAAGAAAGGGTAAAAAACGGTATAACAGCTTTTCGCGAATTATTTCCCTTTCTCATAAGAACAAACACGCTTTGCAGAGAAGGGGAAAGGCCACAGCTGCATGTAGTTGATTGTTAACACTTTCTGTACATTGCACTTCTGGTTTACATTGTTTCCTCTACTATCTAGCGTCAGACCCAGTGGCGTACCAACCAGGGGGACGCAGAGGGCCCCTCTAAAATTTAAGTTTTGGGCAAACGATGCGTTTCGCCCCTCCTGAAATTTAGACACTCACAAAAATAAAGTAAAATCGGTAATTTAAAAAAAAAAAAATCAATTTTGAAGCTATTTTTGAAATAAGAAAACTTTATATTCCACTAACATTTATGTGCTTGGCTCTTCTGATATTTAGTTATTCGCCGAGACGAAGTCCATTAAAATAGGTAATTTTAGAGAAGAAGAAAAAAAAACTATTCTTTCTCAGCTTTGAAGTTATACATCAAGTAGGAAACTTTATTTTGTTATGGGCGATTAATGTGTTTTTTGACTTTTGGAAAAGTAAAGTGGAAGTGGAAAAAATATTTTAATTCCAATTTTCACTCTATTTTCTTCCGAAATAGTAATGAGGGGGCAAACATAGTGTTTCGCCCCTTTTGAAATTTCAAAGTGCTAAAGAATAATAGAAATTGGTAACTAAAAAAATTTCATCTTTGAATCTATTTTCCAAATAGAAAACTTTATTTTCTTCTGAAATAAAAGTGAGGGGGGTGGGGAATTTGCTTCTCATCTTCTGAAATTTAGACATTAACATTAATAGAATAAAATCAAGTAAAGTAGGAAATTTTAGACGAAGAAAATTGTTTTGTTTCATAACTTCGACGATATTTTCCAAATAGAAAACGTAATTCTCCTCTTAAATTATAGTAAGGGGATAGGAAACTTTATTTTCTTCTGAGATAAAGTAAGGGGGGCTAAAATGTGTTTTGTATCATCTGAAATTTAGACATTTGAAATAATAAAGTCTAGTAATTTCTGTTTTTTTAAAAAAAAAACTTTGAATCTATTTTCCAAAAAGAAAATTTTATTTTCCCCTTAATTTAAAGTGAGGGGGCGAAGA